GGGATCGCAACCCTCAGTGTCGCGCCCATACCAGACCGGGACCGGCCACGGGATCGCAACCCTCGGTGTTGCCCCCCCCCGCACCTCGCTCAGCCAGTGAGCGGCCTGTCTGTATGTGGGATCCGAACCCTTGGCGGGAGCGCCAGTGCACTCCCAAGCGGCGCACTGTAGCAGTGCGCTACCTGGCCGGCCAAGAGAGGAATTTTTAATGGAGTATCTATGTGATCTTGCTAACCAGCCCCCAGGATCTATCTGTAAAGAGAGTGGCCTGCCACCATGGGCAGCTGCAGCAGTGATGTGCATCTGTTCTGTTTGTTGCTTTAACTGTGTGGAGACGGTCTGCTTTATTCATACCAGTAGCTCATGGTGCTCTGACCTTCTGGCAGCCAAGGTAATCAGAGGACCTACCACACTCTCTGGACTTGCCTTTCAAAATAGCTCCGCATTCAAGTCCCTGTGCAGTTCCAAGACCTGAGAATGGTGGAGGAATCAATCAGTGGTAATGCAAACAGGTCACTCAAACCATTTCTAGTTTGCATGTAGAATATAGAGTCTATTTGTTTTGCTCATTTTTAGAGGGGGACAGATGAGGAAGATTTTCTTTTTGCATTATATTTGGTTAGTCGAACAGTTATTAAAATTATTGTCTATTTGCAGAGCATACATCAGCTAGTGGAGAGGAAGGTGGCATGCCTTACAGGTTTGCTGAGTGTAGGAGAAACCAGTCTAGAAATTACAAGAGAATAATCCCCAAAGCATCTAATGAAGAATTGGCTATAATTCAGTTTGTTTTTTATGAAGTAGATGAGTAATTGATGGTGTGACAAGTGTATTATGCTAATGGAATCATTTAATATCTTCTGTTAACACTCAACCAAAAAGTAATACTAAGTTAATTGATGTCTATTTAAGGAAAACCCTGTAGTGGTGTTGAATGTCAGAACTCATGATTTGGTTGCAGCTACTCTTTCAGGCTGCCATTTCTGTTTCAATTTGACAATTTTTCCATCAGAATTGTTTAACAGTTTCACTCCATTTGAAGCTTTTTCTCAAACTTGTGTAATGGCAGGTCGAGGACTTCACAAGTGTTTATGAAGAAGTTGATGAAGAACAGTATTCGAAGCTGGTTCAGGCACGCCAGGATGATGACTGGATCGTGGATGACGGTATGTGGGAGGAAATTGCCTGTCAGGCACTGAATTAGTTGCTTCTCGTAGGTTATGTGGTGGAGTTGCTGCTTTGCCTAGGCAGATGTAACACACTGTTAGGATCACACCTTTGGTTTGGATTTTCCTTAATTATTTGAGGATGAGGAAGCAAAACAGTAGGAAGCTCATTTGGGGACATTTTGGAGAGTCTAGGCACATACCTCAGGATATAGTATAAATCCTCTAGGAAATAGCTGTGTCGAAATTGGGAGGAGCCACATGCCTGTGGGGCCAACACACAGCATTTGGAATTAAGGGACGCAGGTTCAAGTTCTGTCTTTCTTACTTGCCAACTGTATGACCTTAGACAAGTCACTTAAACTCTCTGAGCCTCAAGTTCTTCATCTGTAATGTGGGGATGAGAAAACTGCCTGTCTCCCAGAATTGTTATGAGAAGTACATGAGGTTCTAAGTGTGAAAAGTAACTTGAGCAGTGGAAAGCACTGTGTAAAAGCTGGTCCTGATGTTCTTATGCCACCTGTAGAAAGCACACTGATTGTTGTGTATGGGGTCTGACTCCTTGGGCATGTGAATGCTAACCACAGGGAAGAGATGTAGACTGTGCTGTGACTATGTTTATGTTTCTCCTGCAATAGGATTCAGCTATATTGCCAGTTTTTTCTTGTAGACTGGGATGCTTTTCTGGGCTTGTGGTAATTTTGATTCTTTTTCTTTTTATTCTTCTGGTAGAGTAAAACTGCTGTAAAGCATCGTTTTGTGGCAAACTTTGATCCTGTGGGCTGAGGCATTTCCCTAGTTCACCTAGCTAGGTATATTATACTATTGCTTTGGTTTTGACTCCACACTTGCTGTGTGAATGCTGTGCCCTGTCTGACGCCTATTTGAACAGGATTCTGTTGCACTTAAAAATGGCACAGGCCATGAGAACATCTGAGTGGGTATAAAAGGTTTTTTTTCTGTCATGGCTAAAATATTATTGGCCACTTTTAGAAACTTGATTCCAGTATAGTATTAAATTTTGTTCCTGCAGATGGTATTGGCTATGTGGAAGATGGCCGAGAGATTTTTGATGACGACCTTGAAGACGATGCCCTTGATGCTAGTGAGAAAGGTACTCACATTTTGTTTTCAAGAGTGTTGTTTTGAGATTTAAAGAATTGTCTGAAATTTGAGATGACTTGGTACTCTCATACAATTTCCCTTTGAGGGAGAAGTACCTACCACAATTGTTTGTAGGCATAGAATATGTTCTGATACTGAGAGAAGCATAGTTATGTAGAAAATTATCATTATTTATTTATTTATTTTTGGCAGCTGGCTGGTATGGGGATCTGAACCCTTGACCTTGATGTTAAATGTAGAAAATTAAACATAAGAAGCAAAGTAACACCAGAAAATGAAAAGTTTCATGTCTTTATTTTCCAAAGAGTTTGGTTTTTTACTTATTTTGAGATTTTCATTCCTGTGGTCATTTAGACTTGCTGATTTTGAGGGATGCCTTTTAATTCCTACTGAAGTGATGTTCTTAGAATTTTAGCTCTTTGGTAATTGTATAGTACAATTTTACAGTATAGGTTTAGAACTAGAGTAATCAATTTGCTTTGTTTAATTGAAATTTAAAATGAATGAATGTATCAGATTTTTTTAGCTACACAATCATTGGCAATTTTTTTTTTTTCTAAGTAAACAAGCCTGATTTGGTTTCCGTAAAATGAGAACGGGAAATTCTCTTCAGTATTTGTTTTTATTGGTTTAGTTTGTTAATTAGTCTTCTACCATCAAGTGGTAAACTAGGGGTCAGCAAACTATGGCCCACTCACAGCAGGTTTTTTTAAAAACAAGTTTATTGAGATATAATTCACATACCATACAGTGGCTTTTAGTGTTGTCACAGAGTTGTGCAGCCATTACCACAATCAATTTTAGAACATTTCGTTACCCCAAAAGGAAATAATACCTATTTTTATACAGCCCTCGAGCTAATTCTTAGGTTTTTACACTTTTAAAGAGTGTTTAACAAAAAAAAAAAAGAAAGAAAAACGTGCAAGAGAGATGTATGTTGCTACAAAGTCTAAAGTCTGTGCTGTTTTGCACTTTACAGTCTGGACCCTCATTTGTACATTAACATTTATAGATTAATATTTTGCAACATTTGTTTCCCCTCTCTCTCTTCCCAAACACGTGCAGAGACTTTTTTTTCAGTGAACTTCAGCGGTGACCTCCTAAGAATAAGGATACTTGTCTACTTAACTATGATACTACTAACATGATATTATCTAATATCTTATCTATGTTAAAATTTCCCCAATTAGCCCAGTAATGTTTTTTATAGCTATTTTTTTAAAATGCAGATTCCACTTTATTTTTTATGTCTCTTTAATCTTAGTGTAGAATAGCACCTTCCTCCCCACCTCTTTTTGTCTTTCATGACATTGACGTTTTTTTTTTTTTAAAGATGACCGGTAAGGGGATCTTAACCCTTGACTTGGTGTTGTCAGCACCATGCTCACCCATTGAGCTAACCGGCCATCCCTATATGGGGTCCGAACCCATGGCCTTGGTGTTATCAGCACCACACTCTCCTGAGTGAGCCACGGGCCGGCCCTGACATTGACGTTTTAAAGGGACCAGGCTTACTGTTTTGTTGAATGTTTCACAACCTGGAATTTGCCTGCTTGCTTCTTTGTGTTTAGATTCAGGTTAAATATTTTGGCAACAATAAATAAATATTTATTTATAAATAAATGTTTTGGCAACATCTACAATATAGATGAAGTTGTGGCCTTCCAATTGATCATAACAGGGCCATATAATGTCAGTCATCCCATTATTATTGATATTAAGTTTGTTCTCTTGGTTAAGGTGTTTGTCAGATTTCTTCCTTGTAAAGCTACCTTTCTCCTTTGTGATCAATGCAAATATGGGTTGATAATTTGAGACCATGTGTATATCTCATTTCTCCATGAATTTTCACCCAATGCTTTCAGGATCTATTGATCCTTCTCTCCTTTTCTAAATTATCACTTCAAAACTCACAGATTTCTAAAAAACTTACTGTTATAATTTAGTATCCATTATCATCATTTTTCCTTATGCTTTTCTTTTCTTTCTTTCTTTCTTTTTTTTTTTGGTGGCTGGCCAGTACAGGTATCTGAACCCATGACCTTGGCATTATAAGGCTGTGCTCTAACCAACTGAGCTAACCGGTCAGCCCCCATGATTTTCAAATTATCTCAGATTTGGCCAATGGAGCTGGCTCCTGTGTCCTTTTGATATGGCCCCATCAGTCCTCAAGCATTTCCTTGCTTTCTGGGCCAACAAGATGTTCCGGGTTTATCTTGTACACTTCCTGTCCCAGACCTGGAATCAACCATTTCTCCCAAGAATCCTGGCTCTTTTTAATGGGGAATGGTATTCAGATCTGGGGGGTGGATATGCTCATTGCTACTGGGGTGTAATAGCTTCTAGGTCCTTTCAGTGAGCAGAGCTAGGAGATTATATGTATGTATGTCATGAATTCATACTGATATATACAATTGTTTCAAATCCAACATCACCGGCTTCTTCATCTTCCCAATTCTATATTTACATCTGCCTTTGCCTTTAATGAAAACCCTTGTCTTCTAAAATATACACAAAATAGTTTTAGAATTACTAAACCAATACCTCTACCAACAACCTTTCTAAGTAAAGCTTATGATTTCTTTCCAGTTTTATTTGTTCTTGGCATATACCCTGCTAAGGGTCTACAGTCAGAATGTTGTGTTCAGAAGTTATATATGAAAAGTAATTTATGTTATATTAATGTGTGTTATATTATCAATTTACTACACAGGTTCATTTGTTTTTGTTTGTATTCGAATTTCAGTTTTTAAAAAATCATTTTGTTTTAATTTAATCTTTTGAATATTATAAAACAGTTAGATGATTTTAAAATCAAAATGATAGATAAATCTTGCTCTCATCCCTGTGCCTTCTACCTCGTTTCTACCCATCTCCGTAGGTAACAATTCTTATTAGCTTCTGATTTATCCTTCCTATGTTTCCTTTTACAAAAAATAAGCAGGTGTGTATTTTTTTTCCCCTGTGGAATGTTATTTATTCATTCATGCATTAGTTAAATTAGAATTTGTGGACTGTCTTTTTGGTTTCTGCCAGCCTGTGTGATGTAAAGCTCTATACTTTGGTAGCAGTGTGGCTAATTGTGTGTTCCTAGTTTGTATGAGTCCATGAAGAAGGGAATGAACTCATGTGCTCCTTTTATCTCCCTGAACTGAGGAAGCCTCTGTTAGAGTTATGGCTATGTTCTTAATTGTCTCTATCATCTTGAACTAGTCCCATCACCTATCTGGACCTTGGTTTTGTCAACTGTAAATTAGGAGATTGGACTGGACAGGGAGCTTCTCTAAGAAAGGACCCATGTCCTGGTCATCCCAATGTCGATCACAGTAACAGACACAAAGAAAATAAGAGGGTACTTCATAAAGCTCATGGAAAAATTGGATTAAAATATAACATGAATATTTCCATGAACTTTTGGAAGACCCCTTGTATGCAGTATTTGAATAAATGAGCCATCTCTGTGTTTCCATAGTTATCACATTATCTCTTCCCAGTAATACATTAGGGAAAAGAGTGATTTGACATTCTGGAAGAGAGCTAGTCTTAGAAATTTTTGTTTTATTCTTTGCCAACAACATTCACCCACAAGTCCCCACTGTTTCAGTGTCCCTCACTTGGAGCCCAGTAAGGTCACAAGATCTTAGGAGGGGAAATGGAATTCTGCAGTCTACTTTAAAGATTTTTAAGAAATTGTAGATTTCTGTCTAGAAGTAAAAAGGTCAACTCTTTATGGTGTGAGTACAATTCCTGGCATGTTGTTTTCAAATAGAGGTAGAGAAAAAAAATCAACCAGGAGCCATTGAATAAAAATCATTGGGAAAATGCAATAAAAGAAAACAGAAACACTAAATAAATTGTGGAAGAATTCCACCTCAAATGTTTACTCATGTTTATCTTTCTTTTTGTCCTTCTGTCTAAGTCCTACTAACGTACAATGGTGAAATTAAAGACCCCTCATTAAGCTTTTTTTGCTATTTAAACCTGTGTTGACCTCTTTTCATACTCTATTTTGAGATCTGAATTTTGCATACTAAACATTTTGGCCATTAATTTTATTCTGTTTTCAAACTGCTCAAAATGATCTCAATAAAAATGTAAGTTCCTTGATGTAGTTCTTGTGCCTCACATTTTTCACAAATTTCCTACAAATCTTTTCATAGCCTTAGGCATATGAAAAATACCCTTTTTAAAAAAATTGTGGTAAAATACACTTAAAATTTACCATTAGTGACATTTAGTTCATTCAGTGTTTGCAATCATCTACATTATCTAGTTCCAGAACATTTTCATCACTCCAAACAGAAATCCCATACCCATTAAGCAGTCACTCCCTGGTCTTCCTTCCCCAGCCCCTGGCCACCGTTAATCTGCTTTCTGTGTATTCTGGACATTTATATAAATAACATCATACAATATGTGACTTTTTGGGTTTAGCTTCTTTCACTTAGCATAATGTTTTCAAGTTTCATTCATCTTGTAGCATGTATTAGTACTTTATTCCTTTTTATGACTGAATAATATTTCATTGTGGATATAATATTTTGTTTATCTATTCATTAGCTGATGGACACTTGGGTTGTTTCCCTCGTGGTTATTGTACACAGTGCTGCTGTACTCATTTGTGTATAAGTTTTTTTTTTTTTTTTTTCGT